CTTCAAAAACGCTCTTCGGAAACCTACGGGTGACGTCACGGACACTACGTGCATGTTTTTATACAGTCTATGATATTCATACACAAATGTGCATGACCAGTGTTGTCAGTATATGCATATGTAACACAATGTGCAAGGCTTATATAGTGTTTGGAGACTGTATGTGCAAATCTAAGCAACTGTGTATAGACTATAACCTAATGTATGTGCATGTCTAAGCAATTGTGCATAATGGCATATTTATTATATAGATGCTGTACGTTCAGCAGTCAGGGTGGCGTTAGATTGCAGTGTAGAATTATGCTTTTCAAACACCTTTGGTTGATGGATATGCTTGTAACGCCGTAAGATATCAGGGTTGTTTTTCAGTGGCATTTTGTTTGGCAGTAATGTTGTGAAATATTGAGACACCCTATGCGACCTCAGAATTAAAAGGACAAGCATGTGAGTGTGACTGATAACATGTTGTCACTGTATTGACCCACATACTGGAATTACTGTACTCAGTTTGTACTCAGTTTCTTGTGTGATGCTCTATGTTCGGTTCTGAATGATGTTTTATTTATTATTATGTTGGTTGTAATATATCTAGTCTCTGCTTTATCTTTTGGCATTTCTCCCATCTTCTCTAGATACCTGGTTGAACAGAGGGATGTAGAACTAAACATCAGAGATAAGTGGGACAGCACACCTCTGTAAGACTGCTCGGTTATTTCCTTTTATTGTCTGCTATGTCCGTTATGATAAAGCCCCTGATATCACTCCATCTTTATTTTCAGGTATTATGCATGTCTCTGTGGACATGAAGATCTGGTGCAGTACCTGCTTGCCAACGGTAAATACTATAATGATAATTCATAATTAACCAGGGACTGTATAGTAAGATTTTCCCGATCAGGTTACAAAATAAAGCCTGAAACCCTTAAAAATATATATTTTTTAAATTAATAAATAAATAAATTCTATATACACACACACACACACTTATTTTTTTATTATTAATTAAAAAACGTTTATTTTTCAACAAATAATCAGTGAAAGCAGGTGGGCATCATTTAGAAAGCTTTCGGATGATGAAACAAAATTTTATGAGTTTTTTTTTTTATGTGGTATGTGATTTTTGTAACCCAGGTACTAAAATTTGAGCATGTCTAAACATTTTAAAAATGTTTTTTGTTAAGCAATAAATATTTAATAGCAATGCTCATAAAATAAATGAAAACAAAATACGCCAGAATGTGTAGTCATGTAGCAATTTTAACCTAGATTTAGTTGGTTTGGGATCAAATTGGCTTACAGTACGTAACCTATATAACCTATATTTACCATGAAAGAAAAAGAGAAATAAAGGCAAAATACATGTTATTTTGTTTAGTAATACAGAATTAAATATCACATTTTGGTCAAAAAGTATATATATATATATATATATACACACACACACACACACACACACACACACGTTTTTCGGACACATAGGGTACACCCTGCAAAGTTTCGGGAATGACATTCACATATTTATGCGGGATTCACTCTCGAAATAGCAGTGATGGGCAATGGACGGAACATAAAATATGTTGATTTAATTCTGGAACCGGTCCTGGCCAAAACTCCACAGACAGTGCGCGTCCGGAGCGAGATCTAATTCACGGACCAATGCAGCGCTGCTTTGTTTACAGTGGAAACCAAGGAAAGGGTTTAAGCGCCACCTGCTGGCAGAGTGCATCTGCGTCTCATTCAGATCGTCCGCTGTTTCATGCAGATATTTTTATGTATAGTTTCACAAAACTGAAGTCAAACCATTCTGTTTTTGCTTCA